TGGATGGATGGACAGACAAGACCAATGGGTGGACGGATGGATGGACAGACTAATGGGTGGATGGATGGATGGATGGATGGATGGATGGATGGATGGATGGGTGGATGGATGGATAGGTGGATGGATGGACAGACAAGACCAATGGGTGGACGGATGGATAGACAGACTAATGGGTGGATGGATGGATGGATGGGTGGATGGATGAGCGGATGGATGTAAGGAAGGAAGGAAATGATGGGACTTATACAGCTTAGGCTGCTTTGAGACTGGAGTCATTATACCTGTCAGTGTTTTTCTTGGGCAACACCTGGACCCTTAGTCTGGTAAGAGCTAGGTTGAACATACTGCTTCGGGGAAGGTCCCAGAGCTTAGACCATCTCAAGGTACTCTGTTTGAGGAATCAAGAATACTTGAACTTCATAGGGCACAGAATGGCCCATGCCAACCACTTCTGAGATTGGTCCACCCCGGGGGGAAGCTGGAACAAGCAAAAGGATGCCAGGTGCTGCCACATGGAAGGTCTTTGGCCTCTGAACTCTGTCCAGGACTCAGGACTGGACCGGGAGGACGCCATTCCTCCCCCCACGAGCCTCACAGGCCACCCAGAGACATACACAGGAAGAGGCGTCACGTGGACATCTCTTTCTTTTTACAAAGACTTTATTGTCTGACATGCTTGACAAAAAAAAAAATTACAGCCACAATCAAGTTATGCCAAAATGATTGAGGAGCACGCCATCATCTTTCATACCTCAAGGACTTTTAATGAATTTTCTTTCAAAGTAACAGCTGCCTTCATAACTTTTCTTTTCCACATAAAAATACACCATATTCTGAAGATACCTTAGGAAAAAAATTTATTTAAGTTTATAGTTCTTGGTCCGCATAGAAATTCGGTAGAGGTGACTAAAAGGGCCTGTGTCTTCTCCACCCGACATGTGCCCGTGCGCCGTGCACCTGGGCTTCCCCAGAGACTTTGTAAACATCCTCACCCACCAGGAACCACTCGGTCAAACAGAGTCCCTGAAGTCCCACACCCCACAGAGCGCGCTGCTGCTGGCAGACTCCCCTCGTGAACAGTGAGCCTTGCCCCATGGGGACCCCTGTGCTAGCAGGTAAGGAATCGTGGCCTCCTGGGACGCCAGGGTGCTGGGCTCAGAGAAGAGGATCCCTCAGCGCTCCAGGGGCTCTCTCTGAGACACGGACCAGAGAGGCTCCGAACAGGACCCTTAAAAAAAGAGAGGGAGAGAGAGACTTGGGACCATGCATTGCCTCGGAGGGGCAGAGCTTTGAGTCCCGGCAAACCAGAGGCCCTGGAGCCAGACACTAAGGCTCAAGTCTGGCTTCTGCCCCTTTCGAGCTGTGCACCCTCGGGCAAGTGATGTCCCCTCTCTGATCTCAATCTCCTCATCTCTAAAATTGGGCCAACAGAGCTGACCTTGCAGGACCGCCTGGCGTGAATCAAGATTGTATCTGCAACAGGGTGTGGTAAGGGCTGGCCCCAGGGCTGGGCTGAGGGTGAGGTGAGTAAGGCCCTCCTCTCAGGTGCCCGATTTAAGGAGCTACCAAACAGCTGGGCAAGAGAGAGAAAGGATGCTATTTAACCCCATGTCTTTCAAAATCAAATTCGATTCAGAAAAATATCCATGATGAACAAAATATCAAAAATTTCAATAAAGATAGAACTGGACCCTGCACGTGGCGATCCCGCCTCTCTGGCCTCGCTCCAATGAGACCCTGCTGGTTCCCTCGCCCTCACAGATTCAGCCCAGCCCCCCCCCCCCCCCACCCCGGTCCTAATTTAAAGGAAAAAAAGGAAAGGCGCTCTACATGAAGCTGCCAGCGCCAGGGCCTGCTCTGCCACTGGGCCACCCTCCCGTTAACAGGACACACTGGCAAGGACCAGGAACCACTCAGCCCCTTCGGCTATGGGTCCAACAGACAGAACCGAAATGGTGCACGGGAAACCGCACTGAGGAATGGAACCCCATTGGAGTACAGTAAGGGGAAACCCGGGGTCCACTTCATTAAGTTAAGAAGGGCTCTGTGTGTGTGTGTGTGCGCGTGTGTGCGCGCGCGCACGCACGCCCACATGGGCACAACCACATGGCAGGGTGGCCTCGGTCTGCGGCCCCTCCAGCCTGCCAAGTTCTGCAGAGTTGCTCAGACCCGCGAGTCTATGACTCGGGAACCTTCCATCTGGTCCTGGGCACCCACATGGCTCGTTTTATAGAACCACTCTCTCGGGTCCAGGCTCCACGCGAGCACCCAGGGTGCTCAGGTCACTGTTCAAGATGGCAAAGATGCCCACAGGAAGAAAGCGGGGTCACGAGGTGAGGCAGACGGCTTGTTGGCCTTGTTGGCCTTGTGGCCCGAATTCCTGAGACGTCCCTGATCGCTCCCTCAAGGGCCTCAGCTGTAAAGCAGGCCCATCTCCTCCCCAAGCCCGGTGGGGGGCGGGGGGCGGGAATGGGTGCCACTTGCACCCAGGCTCCAAAACCTCCCACACACCCCCAACCCTGGGGCTTGCTGCCACACAGACCCTCGGTTAGAGGGCGATTTTGTGCGAGAACTTCCAAAGTGTGTCCAGGAGCAGCAGCTTCCCAAGCCCACGAGTGGGTCCGACTGAGAGGGATGAAGAGTCCATCAATTCCCAAGCAGGACAGGACCGCAAGCTTGTTAGGTCCTTTGACAAGGTACACGCAGAAATGTACACGCAGAAAACAGTAATGAGCACAGAACCCCTGCCAGGGACCCACAGGGTCCTGACTCCAGGTGACGGAGGCTGAAGAGTCAGGGGAGGTTTTCTTCATTCCAAGGCCTCGACCCATCAGCTGGGCTGCTCCCTGTGGCCAGGCAGCTGGTCTGCATGGAAGGAAGGGTGGTTGGGAGTCTGTGCTCTCGGCCAGGCATGTGTAGCTGATGTGAGCAGGAAGGGCTGAGACAGCAGGGGCAGTCAGGAGTTCCGGGGTGTGGGCAGGTCAATGACTATGGGCGGATTCACAGGCTGGTAGTTCACGGTGCACACAGACGCGTTCACGTAGGTGGTTGTCCCATCTGCCATGACACCGTACCCTGGAAGGTAAGCACACAGCCGTCAGGGCTGAGGGAGTAAGGCCAGGACCTAGGGTAGTGAGGTGGCCTAGGGGGCGTGGTAGTCAGAGAGCACTCCGCTGCAGCAGGCTCAACAAGCCAGGGCAAGCTACCGAAACCCTCAACTCGGCCTCTTCATCTATAGATAGAGGTGATGACAGATGCTCCTTCCCCGACTGCTACAAGGGGCAAATGAGATAATAATCCACGTACAGTGTTCGTTCAGCCCAGTGCCTGGAAAGCACATGGGGAGCACACAGTGAGATATCACCATTGACGACATCACAACCATCACCATCACCACTACCACCATCACCATCACCACCATCACCATCATCATCATCACCAACATTGCCATTATCGCCATCATCGCCATCACCACCATCATCACCAAGCCACCCTCATCTCCATAACCACCATCACCATCACCACCATCACCACCACAATCACCATCATCAGCACCATTACCACCATTACGATCACTACCATCACCATCATCACCAACA